CACGAGACGCTTAAGGACGCCTTGACCCATGCACTGGAGGTGGAAGCCGTGCGGCAGGATCATCGTTCCCACCGCGTCAGGGAGGTTGCAACAGCTAAAGCAGGGAAACTGGCGGGTGCTGGCTGATGTTAAAAGAGCCCCAAGGATTTCGATCTCACAAACTCATGATGGGAACAGCCTAATCATCAAGGGCGAAGTCAACGGAACGCCATGTAAACTGACCATAGACACTGGAGCCTCTCGCACGGTTGTCAGTTCCCAACTTATAAGTCGGTTCCTTGGTGACTCCGCATACAACCGAGAACGCATTAATTTGGTGACAGCCACCGGTCAGCGCATACCCGTCCGTGGAGAGAAGGAGATGGAGTTGAAGCTAGGCAACATGATCTACCTGCATAATGTCATCGTGGCTGATATAATGGACGACTGCATCCTGGGCCTAGACTTTATGAGGAAGAATTGTTGTGAGATCGACGTTAAGCAAGGTGTTTTGAAATGTGGACAAGAAGAACTTTTCGTGGAAGGGGCGTTACCAGGGAATGTGTACAGCCTTAAGAAGATTGTTCTTCCGCCGAGATCGGAAACGATTGTGCCGGTTAGTCTTCCTCGGAGTCCTGGGCAAGCTCATCGTTGTGTACTCGTGGAAAGGGTAGACAATGACCTTCCATGGAAAGTGGCTCGAACCTTGGTCAGAACCACCGACATCTCAGGAGTACGTGTGTTGAACCTTTGTGATCAGGAACAGATTATAGAAAAAGACACATTGGTTGGTACTAGTGAGGAAGTGGATTGGTTGCGTCGATGCGAATATCTATCGACCGGGACCCTTAGCAAGGATGGACAAACGAGAGTGACCACACTTTTAGAAGACTGTCGCAGCGTTCTCTCCCCGAATGAAATGGTCAAGGCGAAGAAGTTGTTACTCAAGTACGCCAATGTTTTCTCGTCAAACGAAGCTGACATAGGAAAGACTGGCTTAGTTCAACACAAAATAAACACAGGACAAGTATTGCCTATTCGTCAGCGGCCAAGAAGATTGCCTATAGCACGTGAAAAGGAAGTGGAAACCATGATTGAGGGAATGGTGAAGGATGGTGTTATTGAAAAAAAAAAAAATATTGAACCTTCATCTAGTCCATGGTGTTCACCTGTGGTGCTGGTAAAGAAGAAGGACGGCAGCATGCGGTTTTGTGTTGACTACCGCCGCCTGAACGACGTTACGAAGAAGGACAGCTATCCCTTGCCTAGAAATGATGACACGCTGGACATGCTCACAGGCGTAAAGTGGTTTAGTACGCTGGACCTGAAAAGTGGCTACTGGCAGGTTGAAATTGACCCTAAGGACAAGGAGAAAACTGCATTCTCCACAGGAAAGGGTCTGTGGCAATTTAAAGTCATGCCGTTTGGATTGTGCAATGCTCCAGCAACGTTTGAAAGATTGATGGAGCTTGTACTTACCGGGCTAATTGGAGATGCCTGTCTGGTCTATTTGGATGACATCATCATCGTAGGCCGTACGTTTGAGGAACACCTTCAAAACCTGGAACGCGTGCTCATGAAGATCCAGAGTGCCAACCTCAAGTTGAGTCCAAAGAAGTGCTCACTATTCAAACGGCAAGTTAGTTTTTTGGGGTATGTAGTGTCGGAAGAAGGTATCCGCACGGATCCAGAGAAAATTGCTGCTGTCAAGGAGTGGCCGGTCCCAAAAGACAAGACACAGGTTAGAGCATTTTTGGGTTTGTGCTCTTATTATCGGCGATTTGTGAAGAACTTTGCAGATATAGCCAAACCTCTGCACAAGCTAACCGAGGAGAAGCGACAATTCTGCTGGGATGAAAGTTGCGATATTGCATTCCAGGAGCTCAAGAACCGCCTGTGCAAAACACCTGTTTTGGGGTACCCTGATGCGGGCAAGGAATTCATAGTTGACACAGACGCAAGTGATATAGGACTTGGCGGTGTGTTGTCTCAACGGAATGGTGATCAAGAGATTGTGATAGCGTACTTCAGCAAGTCGTTGTCAAAGCCGGAAAGGAACTATTGTGTCACAAGACGGGAATTGCTTGCTGTGGTAAAGTCCTTGCAGCATTTTAGCAAATATCTTCTAGGGCGGAAATTCCACTTACGAACTGACCATGCTGCACTGAAATGGCTATTGCAGTTCAAAAATCCGGAAGGACAAGTTGCGAGATGGATAGAGCTACTGCAGGAATACGACTTTGTGATCGAACATCGCAGCGGGAAATCTCATGGCAATGCAGATGCATTGTCAAGAAGACCTTGCCCTGAAGATTGCAAGCATTGTACTAGGCAAGAGGGTAAGGAAGTGGTATCTGTGAGAATGCTCAGGACAGACCAGCTCAGCAATGAGTGGAAGGACAGCCTACAGCATGCACAGCAGGAAGATTCGGACATTAAGCCGATTCTGGAATGGATGAAGGCCAGTGCTCCTAAGCCCAAGTGGAGCGACGTCTCAGCAATGAGTTCGACCACAAAAAGCTATTGGGCCCAATGGGACAGCTTGCTGATTCAGGATGGAGTCCTGTGCCGTAAATGGGAAAATGGTCGGGGAGACAGGTGTCATTTGCAAATGGTTGTCCCTAAGGCTAAAGTGCCGGATATTCTACAGCTGTACCATAGTGGTTGTTCAGGAGGCCACCTGGGAGTTAAACGAACTCTCCTGAAGATCCGAGAACGGTTTTACTGGGTCCACTGTCGTGACGATGTCCAGGACTGGTGCCGCAAATGTACAAGTTGTGCGGCTGTAAAGGGACCTCAAATTCGTAGTAGGGGCGCATTGAAATTGTACAATGTTGGTGCACCATGGGAGAGGATAGCCATTGACGTTGCGGGGCCGTTTCCAGAAACTGAAAGTGGTAACAAGTATTTCATGGTCGTGATGGATTACTTCACTAAGTGGCCAGAAGTCTTCGCCATTCCAAATCAAGAAGCTTCAACCGTTGCAGATAAACTAGTTCATGAAGTCTTCTGTCGTTTTGGAGTACCTTTAGAGATTCACAGCGATCAAGGAAGGAATTTTGAGTCTCAAATATTCCAGGAAACTTGCCGAGTTATGGGTACTCAGAAAACACGAACAACTTCTTACCACCCACAATCTGATGGAATGGTAGAAAGATTTAATCAGACATTGGAGAGGTACCTAGCAAAAGTTGTGGAAAAACGACAACGAGACTGGGATAGGCACATACAACCGTTTTTGTTGTCATATCGAAGCGCTGTTCACGAAAGTACATCAGTGACACCAGCTTACGTAAACTTTGGGAGAGAATTGCGGCTGCCTGCAGACCTGATCACCGGAATACCACCTGATGCCCCACGCAGTATAACCGATTATGCAAATGACTTGCGGAACAAAATGAATGACATTTATGAGCACGTCAGACAGACGGGCCAGCAAACGTCTGAGAAGATGAAAACACGGTATGACCGCAAAATGAACAACAAGGGGTTTGATGAAGGTTCTCTAGTGTGGTTACACAATCCAGTTCGCAGCAAAGGGAAATCTCCTAAGCTTCAAGCTAAATGGGACGGACCGTACCGGATTGTGACAAGGATCAATGACGTAACCTACCGGATACAGAAAGGTGCCAGAGGTACTCCTAAGATTGTCCATGTGGATCGACTGGCGCGTTATTATGGGGCCAATAATGCTCGGGACGAGCATGTCTTAGGAGGGGGCAGTGTTACGCGCCACTATTAATGTCTTGTACATGGCAACACTAGTTACACTAGCGCCCCCTAGTGTCGAGTAAATGAAAGTATTGCGCGCCACTATTAATGTCTTGTACATGGCAACACTAGTCACACTAGCGCCCTCTAGTGTCGAGTAGCAGAACTAGGAGAGTCGAGATCCTTCCAGAAATTTCGGGACCGATATGTACTCGAACATTCTAGATGTCGCTACAGTAGAAGGTTCTGGAAACTATCTGCGGCCCTATATAAGGCCGGTATAGACCACGACCGGGGCAGTATTGAATTAGCGATACAAGAGAATACTTCGAAGCGAAATAACGGCGAACTGTGTTTTATTATTAGTGTGATTTTAGATTGTAATTAGTGTTGTGTAATTAAGGTGTCAATTTTGGTAATTCAATCGGCAGTTTTTAATTGTCTCGAACCCCAAGCTCGTAACAGTACTATCATTCCTAATTAAGCAATATAACTCTTTCAAATTTAAAACGATATTTCTACAATTATTTCATTTGCAGCAGCAACGTGCTGGATATCAGTTAGTTAGTTACAAACAGACACTTCAATTTTATTTATTTGCATAGATTTATAGATCATTTAATTTTAACTAATGTACTATCATTCCTAATTAAGCAATATAACTCTTTCAAATTTAAAACGATATTTCTACAATTATTTCATTTGCAGCAGCAACGTGCTGGATATCAGTTAGTTAGTTACAAACAGACACTTCAATTTTATTTATTTGTATAGATTTATAGATCATTTAATTTTAACTAATGTACTATCATTCCTAATTAAGCAATATAACTCTTTCAAATTTAAAACGATATTTCTACAATTATTTCATTTGCAGCAGCAACGTGCTGGATATCAGTTAGTTAGTTACAAACAGACACTTCAATTTTATTTATTTGTATAGATTTATAGATCATTTAATTATAACTAATGTACTATCATTCCTAATTAAGCAATATAACTCTTTCAAATTTAAAACGATATTTCTACAATTATTTCATTTGCAGCAGCAACGTGCTGGATATCAGTTAGTTACAAACAGACACTTCAATTTTATTTATTTATATAGATTTATAGATCATTTAATTTTAACTAATGTACTATCATTCCTAATTAAGCAATATAACTCTTTCAAATTTAAAACGATATTTCTACAATTATTTCATTTGCAGCAGCAACGTGCTGGATATCAGTTAGTTACAAACAGACACTTCAATTTTATTTATTTGTATAGATTAAAACTACAACTAGTTTAATTTTGTCGATTCCAGAGATCAGAGTTCGTAGCAACCTAATGCCGCCCAGTACGGAACCCATTACACTGGACAGTGACGACGAGCCAGATTTGGGTGAGTTGATGTGTTATTGAAATATAGTTGTTTGTTTATTTAAGTTCGCACAGAGAATATACAGGCCGGGAGAATTTTGAAAATTAGGTATTTGAAGAAAGTATCGCTGTCGCTCTGCGAGCGCTCGGCGTCCAATATAGACAACTGCAGATCCGACTGAATAGCCGATCGATCACTAATAATAAACTAGATACACATGCAAACGTTCTCTAAAAACTGTCGCTTTTTAACGTAATTCTAGTTGAAATATACTTTAATGTAAATATAACCTTAAATGCATTGCCATAAGTTGTACCTATTTACAAAGCTAAGTACATAAAGCAATAAATTTTTATTACTAATACTCGATGGTCAACCTATATCAAAACAAATTCAAACTTACATGCAAGTCTTAAAGTCAAAATTAAGGACCGCGCTCTCACAGAATACCAGAGTAAAATAGCAGTTTAACGCTGTTGTGTTTCGTATGGTGAGTGTAGAGAACCGGAGACCCTTTTTACTGGAAAAGAGGCATTCCATCTTAGTCCTCACGGCTGACAACGCATCTGCATTTTGATTCGTAATCGAGGATAGCTGCAGATGTCTATGGGCCACAGCAACCACTTACCATCAGGTGGACTGTGTGCTCGTTTGTCACCCTTGTCCTATAAAAAAAAAACCAAGTGTCAATAAAAAGCAATCAAATTTTACGACCGAGGCTCGTCGCTTAAACAAGGAATGAATATTATTACGGCTTAATTAAAAAAAATGTTTTTACGATGATTTCTTGACAAAATATTAAAGATAAATAAATAAATAAATAAAATATACAATTAAAGAATGATAATATTAATACTTACCGAAAATATGAAATTGGATCGCTTTTTAACGTCCTGGATGTGTGATTTTTATACTTTTTAAACGAGCAAAGAGGCACGTTTACCGTCGGAGCATTCAAATGTTACTAGATTAAAAGCGCACACAAATGTTCGAGTGGGCGCTCATTCGGTAAGGACATTTTTTGTCACTGATTGTGTATCTAGTTTTTTATTAGTGATCGATGGAATAGCCTAAGTAAAAAGGCATAATTCGAGGTTTGCCTCTCTACCATTTCCTCCACCAATATTGGACCAATTTAAAAGATATTTCATAAACAGAATAAGAAGGATATACACTGTGTCGCTATGTTTTTCTTTTTTCAGTATTAGTTATCAAATTTCAACACTAGGCCTCTGTTAACAGCAGTCTAAATAGGAAATTTTGTGCATTTTGTAATGATTCTAGTGTTTATAAAGATAATAAATCATCAAGAAGAACAACGTAGGGATAGGTTGATATTTATTTTACTGTAAAAACTCATTGATATAAGGTCATAAACCAGAAAGAAAACAGGCGAGAGCATTTGCTTGGAGTAAAGATTACACGCATTTCCTCTTAAACAAATATTTTAACATATTAATCAAAAATATAAAACTTTAAATGACAAGAGTAAAATTTAAATATAAAAGTACTTTTAAACTTATTAGTGGTAGAGCCATGCTGCATTATGGTTGTAGCACGAATGAGACCGGGGTAGGACCACGCTCTCACAGAATACCAGCGTAAAATAGCAGCTTAATGCTGCTGTGTTTCGTATGGTGAGTGTAGAGAACCGGCGACACTTTTTACTGGAAAAGAGGCATTCCATCTTAGTTCTCACGGATGACAAACGCATCTACATTTTGATTCGCAAACGAGGATAGATGTAGATGTCTATGGACCACAGCATTCACTTACCATCAGGTTGACTGTATCCTCGTTTGTCACCCTTCTAGAGAGAATCTTAAGGAGAAATATAATGAATATTTTTTTTTAATTCCAGGATCACCAAGTCAGGCGTCTGACTCGCTGAGCCTAGACGAAAACCTTCGTGCCTTGCGGCATATTCACGAGAAGTATGCCAACATTGATAAGGTGAGTGAATACACACAAACCAATCCACTCTATGGGAAAGACGTAATGTTTACTAGGTGGTAGATGATGAGGAGTTAAGTTTTATCCTCATATGAGATCTAGAGCTTTGTTTCTTATACTACGGCAAGTGTTTTAAGTAAATCTCTATTCATACAAATAAATAAAATTTTAAGTGTCTGTTTGTAACGTGAAAATAACAGCATTTTACTATATGTATATGAAAGTATATACAGTACTTATATAAAAATAAAATAATTTTGAAAAGTTTTGTCTGTATGTTTATGTGTTCCGGCTAATCTTTGGTATGGATGGATCGATTTTGAATTTTGTTAATAATTAATATATCAAGCGACGCGGAATCGTATCGTATCAGCTAATATCATAATAGGGTGATGAATGACTCCAGGATGACATGTACGGCGCGCACCTCCTGGCGGCGAACTTCAAGAAGCCGCCGCCGGAGCAGAGCCGGCTCGCCACCCACAAGGACGACGACGAGGTGCTCTCCGTGCGCAGCTCCGAAGGTACGCCACCCGGCCGCTGCCACTAGTGCGCTTGTGCAACCGTAGCTTACTGTTACACCTCATCAAAAGTCCACTGCCGAACATAAGTCTGTCCTATAGGGGGGATATTTGCCATAGTTGCCACGCTTGGCAAGTGGGTTGGTCGATGATTCTTCAAATTTTTTTTAAATAGGTTATACTCCATGGGACCAATATTATATAAATTTAGGGGTTGAAGTTTTTAATGTTAGAATTTTATAAAAAAAAAATCGAGTAGCATAATAACTCATTAAATATAAACTTAAGTTTAGAAAAATACAGATTACGAAAACAACAGTCAGTCAGAAGATAAACGAGTTGAATGTAAATTCAAGAAAAACAACTTCCTTCTGCGTGAATCCCATATCTCTGGTGCCCTTTGACCTACAGGACCCAAATTCAAACTCGACCGAGCTACTACCTCAAGGTATCCATCCACAAACCAAATTTAAAGTCAATCGGTCCAGTGGAACGGAAGTTATCGTGTCGCCATACAGACTAACAGACTGCCAGCTAAAACCATTAACTTCCTTTCAATGCTACGCAGAAGGAAGTTAATAATAGGCAACAGGTAAGGTAATATAGACTGTATTCTAAAAACAATAAAAGATTATTTTCCGAATTTAGACTATGGGTATTAAATATTGTTTAATTGAAAACAAATCTTGAATTATAAAAAAAATTCTTATTCTTGTAGTGTTAGCGCGTTTTAATATTCCAATAGTGACATCTAGCGACACAGTTTGTAAACAACAAACAAAATAATAATTTTACTTTACTTTCTATTAAAGATAATTATGAAAAATCCATTGGTATATATTGTGATGTATAAATAATGATTATTATATCCATTAATAATATACCCTCGCTTCCTACTTGTATTCAAATAATCGTCTTTGTACATTTCCAACTCCCGACGCAAAAAGATGTTACAAGTGTTGTCTGTGTCTGTCTGTGGCACCGTATCTAGTAAACCGATTCGGGTGCGGTTTTTATCTCTTAATGTAAAAGCAGTTTTTCTAGCGGTGGTTCAGCCGTTTTAGAGTAATCAGCTGTTTTGTTAGCTGCGGTAGGATTCTTTCCGGGGTTACTAAATGATAATATTTTTATTAAATGTTAATTTAAAAGTTTTGTTGCACTACAAAAATAAAAACAAAACTACTAGTTATATTATAATATAGTCCACTACCAGCACATGCTCTCTGTTATTTCTAAGGGTTATGAAGCAATGAGACCTAATGATCTTTCGCTAACCATTTGTCGCTTGTTGGGGACTGAGGTTTTTTTTTATAGGATAAAGGTGACAAGCGAGCAAACAATCCACCTGATGGTAAGTGTATGCTGTTGCCCATAGACATCTACATCGACATTTATCCTCGATTAAGAATCAAAATGCAGATGCGTTGTCAGCCGCGAGGAGTAAGGTTGAGATCTATAGACCGTACTTTGACTTTGCTCAGACTTTACTTACGAAAAACTTAGCCGAGTATATGCTTAGCATAATCTTTTTACGTGGTAGAGCCATGCTTCAGCTATATTAGTAGTATAGTTGTAGCATGAATGGGTCGGCTCGACCGGGGAAGGACCACGCTCTCACAGAATACCAGCGTAAAATAGCAGCTTAACGCTGCTGTGTTTCGTATGGTGAGTGTAGAGAACCGGAGACTCTTTTTACTGAAAACGAAGCATTCCATCTCAGTCCTTACAGTGTGACAATGCATCTGCATTTTGATTTGTAATAGAGGATAGATGTAAATGTCTATGGGCCACAGCAACCACTTACCATCAGGTGGACTGTGTGCTCGTTTGTCACCCTATCCTATAAAAAAAATCTTTGATTCTGAATTTAAATTATTCCTTATCGGGCTAAGATTAAGCTAAGCTTATGTTAAGGCCCAGACAGTCAAAAAATTAATGGATACTTCATTCCGTCATCATCATTATCATCATTACAGCCCTTCACAAGTCTACTGCTGAACATAGGCCTCCCACCTGAGCCACCTGCATCCATCGACCTCCTGCATGTCTTACCAGGTCGTCACTCCATTTAGTGAGTGGACGCCATACACTACGCCTACCGGTACGAGGCCGCCACTCGAGAACCTTTCTTCCCCATCGGTTGTCGGTTCTTCGAGCTATATGGTCGAGCCATTGCCACTTCAGCTTACTAATCCGTTGGGCTATGTCGGTCACTTTGGTTCTATCTACTGCGGATATCCTCATTTCTAAGTTTATCGCGCAGAGAAACTCCGAGCATAGCCTTCTGCATAGCTCGCTGAGCGACCTTGAGCTACCTCATCCGGCCAGCAATGAAAGCGCCACGTCTACTATTTAAAACTAGAAGACGGCCTAAAACTACCTATTTATTGTTATAAATAGTTACAGTAACATAAAAACAACAATTTAAAATAGATACGGTGGTTTTGGATAATATCCTGGGTTTTACGTAAGTCGTCGATTTCGTTGACTTAGGTTTTGCTACGCACTCAGCACGAATCTGAAGTTAGTTCTACAAATACCGACATTGTCTTATCTCGAAAGTAAAGTCTGAGCAAAGTCAGAGTATGGTCTATAGATCTCAGCCTAAGATGGAATGCGTCGCTTCCAGTGGAAAGGGTCTACGGTTCTCTACACTCACCATACAAAACACAGCAGCGTTAACATGCTATTTTACGCTGGTGTTCTGTGAGAGCGTGGTCATACCCTCTGTCTCTGATTACAGAATATTAAATTATTTACTTGTATGAAAATAGTAAAAGATGTCTTCCCAAGATGTCAAATATCATGTTAATATTGTATGTATAAATATATAAGTAGGTATTATTTAAATATATGGTAATGTAACACTTATACACCTGTTAGCTAGGTTAGTATTATCTATTTATATATGTTATATACTACTTTATAACTGATAATTGTTAATAGACAACTGAAAACCAGCGCTGTCTTTGCAGCATTATGTTGAGTTGGAGACCTATTTGATGTCACATTTTAATTTAGATTTTTTCTTTTTAATTTTTTTTGTTTGTTACATTATTTATTAACGATGTGCGTGTACTGCTTCTCAATTGATAATGCGTAAGTTTGACTGGTACATGCATATTTTGTTCTCCCTTGCTTTTGTATATATTTTTTAAATGTGTGTAAAATGTGTATATCAAATAAATAGTTATTTCTTTTTTTCTTCCCCGGTCGAGCCGACCCATTCGTGCTACAATTATACTACTAATATAGCTGCAGCATTGCTCTACCACATAAATGAAGTTTTTTTTTGTATAGTATAGTAGTATAGGGTGACAAACGAGCACACAGACCACCTAATGGTAAGTGGTTACTGTGGCCCATAGACATCTACATCTATCCTCGATTGCGAATCAAAATGCAGATGTGTTGTCACCCGTGAGGACTAAGATGGAATGCCTCTTTGCCAGTAAAAAGGGTCTCCGGTTCCCTACACTCACCATACGAAACACAGCAGTGTTAAGTTGCTATTTGACGCTGGTATTCTGTGAGAGCGTGGTTCTTCCCCGGTCGAGCCGACCCATTCGTGCTACAAATATACTACTAATATAGCAGCAGCATGGCTCTACCACGTAAATGAAGTTATCTGTCGCACGGTGTCATCACCCATCATCGTTGAAAATTTGCGTTTTAAATAAAAGTGTTTAGGTTTCTAGTGTATGTATAAAAACAAAATAATGTCAAGCATAGGTGCACTCTCTATTCGCTCACTGTCACAGTCCAATGGGACGGTAAGCCAAAACGACCGGTGAGACACTAGGCGCAGAACCAACAGTTTTACATGCTTGCCGAGGCGCAGGGGTGAAACACCACCAAATGCCCGACTCCGGAATGCTACTGAGAATTTCTTCACAGAAAAAACCCAATAACTGATTTTGGACCGATCTGGGATTTAAACCAGGAACCTTATCAGCAACCGCGTTTAAAACCACCAGACCAGGGTTTGCATAAACGGAAAATTATGGGTTATAACGGTTAAAAGTATGACGTCATATCATTTTATTACGATATTTTAAAATAACAATACACAAATTTTTCGGAAAAAAATAACGGTAGTTTTATTTTTATCTAAATATCTATTTATAGGTTTTGCTCTTCCTGTGGTTCAAAATTACCTTAGTTTCCATTCGTTTCTTAAAAATTTTCAATTGTCCTTGTCGAAACAACAAATACTTTTGGTTACACAAGCAGATATTTAAAGGTATAACGATACCCCTAAACATAGCGTTACCTTATTAATTTATTGGTGACGTATCGGAAAAAATTTAACCGCTTTCGGTCTTTGACCTTTAAGAAAATAGCGATATCAATATTTTACACCGGTGCGGTGGCGCAATCTCACATATTCACCTCAATCAAGCTCGCACCAGAGCAACGAGGCAGTCGATCACAGTGTGTATTGATAATGTTGCAGGTTGTGCTTCGGTGAAGGAGTTGGACACCAGAGTGGAGAAATTGGAGGACAGCTCCAACTCAGATTCGGACAGCAGTAGTTCAGGGTCAGGTGAGTCGCTGGTACCGTTAACAGCATGGGTTAAGTCCTACAAGTCCTACAGTCGAATATCGCAAGGATTTGACAGTGAGAGACTTATCTTTCTTTTTTAATGAGGGCTTATAATTTTCCGCTCACCAGATGTCGCTAGTTGTTACTGAAGTAAAGTTTTTCGTTACACAATGTAATTTAATTGAGAAGTTAGTTTTTAATAAAAGTTTATCAGTTTCTAGAGTATTATATTAATAAACAAAACAATGCGTCAGTGGTTTGCTCTTTGTTTTTTTTTGCAAATATTTAACATTTTTTTTTAATTTTTCTACTTTTATGAATATCTATGGTTTGGTTTATTTATTTTTAATGTTATTAATGTAAAATATAGCCAATAATACAAAAAGCGGGAGGGAGGGGGAGGGGGGGGGAGAGTGAGAGAGATAGAGAGGGGGAGAGAGATAGATAGATAGAGAGATAGAGAGATAGAGAGGGAAGGAGGGAGGGGGGAGAGCGAGTGAGGGAGGGAGAGAGGGATAGAGAGAGACACTTTAAGTCGAAGTGATAGTGACACCACAAGACTTAACGACGTTCTTAAAATTAAGTAGCGTTTGACTATGTGGGCTAATGTCTGAACAACTTCATATCAAAAACAGTAAATCAGCTTTTTACTCTATCTATAAAACGTTTTAGCAGTACCTCGGTAGGATGAACGTCGAAAGCACTTAGAGCCGTCGGTCCCGCGCCTGAACTCACTCCGGTCGTGTCGGTTTACCGTCCCATCGGTCTATGACAGTGGGGGAATAGGGAGTGCGACTGTGCTTGCGCACACACACCAACACTATAACTAGTGTCCGACGGAAACAGGATTTCCAACCGAAACCGAAACCGAAAACGAACCTTCGGTCTGGGTGTCAGTTTCGGCCGAAACCGAAACCGAAACTTATTTAGATACCTATGTTATTTTTTATTATATCTTGAAAACTGGTATAATTTTCAGACATATAGGTAGGTACTTCGTGTTAATGAAAAACAGTAATTGCAGTTGTCATGTAGCAATATATTAATTAGGTCAGGGAAAAAGTTTCTTCGTATTTTATATACAAATTCAAGACATTTTTTTTATAAGTTTAATTACACTTAATTATAATATATGTGCCATTTTGTTCGATAACGTTTTATTATCGAACGTTTTTTTTCGCATGTTTTTATCGTAAGTTAACCATTTTTAAAAACGCTTTGGTTTCAACACGTTTCAATAGAGAATCGCAAATGAGTGCACAATTCATTAAGTTTGATAGCCAGACTTTTTCAAATTGGTTAAAACCATTGAGTTATATGTATTACGTACTAGAGAAGCCATTCCGAACATTGACTATGTTCAACTGAACTGTAGTGCAATCCATACAAACTAAATATTGCGTAAATTGAAGTTTTGTGAATTTCATAAAATAATTATTATTACATTTTATTTTGAAATATGTTTGTTTAGATTAAATTAAGATATTTTATATTAAATTCTTATATTTATTTTATATTAATATCTCATTTTATATCAAATTAAAGTCTTAGGCGGGAGTAGTAGTCGCGCATGCGCGAAGACATAGAGTAGGACACAATTGTTGTTTGGAATGGCTTCTCTAGTACGTAGTACATATAACTTAATGATATTAGGTCAGGGAAAAAGTTTCTTCGTATTTTATATACAAATTCAAGACATTTTTTTTTCTAAGTTTAATTACACTTAATTATAATATATGTGCCATTTTGTTCGATAACGTTTTATTATCGGACGTTTTTTTTTCGCACGTTTTTATCGTAAGCTATCCATTTTTAAAAACAGTTTAGTTTCAATACGTTTCAATAGAGAATTGCAAATGAGTGCACAATTCATTAAGTTTGGGTAGCCAGACTTTTTCAAATTGGTTAAAACCATTGAGTTATATGTACTACGTACTAGAGAAGCCATTCCGAACATTGACTATGTTCAACTGAACTGTAGTGCAATCCATACAAACTAAATATTACGTAAATTGAAGTTTTGTGAGTTCCATAAAATAATTATTATTACATTTTATTTTGAAATATGTTTGTTTAGATTTAATTAAGATATTTTATATTAAATTCTTATATTTATTTTATATTGATATCTTATTTTATATTAAATTAAAGTCTTCGCCCATGCGCGACTACTACTCCCGCGCATGCGCGAAGACATAGAGTAGGACACAATTTTTGTTTGGAATGGCTTCTCTAGTACGTAGTACATATAACTCAATGGTTAAAACTCTTTTGTAGTCGATTCTAAATTCGTAGCTGTTAAGGTCGTAACTACTAATATGCCGATCATGTTCCACTATTTAAAAATTAACATCGACTTTATCCGTATGAGAGTGACCAAAGCGAGCTGCATCTTTCACTTCAAAATGCCTGAACCAACTTTATGCTAATCTTATTGTGATACTGCATTAGATCCATAAACGTCACAAAATTTTTTCGCGGATGAGTCGCACTTTTCCCTTTTTTGTAATAAAACTTTAGAATGCACCGAATTTCCTCTGTAGATTCACTCAATTTGGCGAATAGAGCAACAATTGAAAAATGGCGGGAAAGTGTTTTTTTTACTCTTTATTTTTCTTTATCTACAATATATATTAATACTAAAACTCCAGCCAGATACAAACAGTGCAACCAAAGAAATTTTTCTACAAGCTAAATACTAAGAAACATTTTTCCCTGATCTATTATTTATTTATTTTAAAGTAAAAATTTAACAATTTAAAATTAAGAAATCCTTTTTAAATAAATGTTGTCAAAAATAAACACAATTATAAAAAGGTTATTGAGAACATATTTTATTGTGTTCTCAATATTGTTAAAATAAAATACGTTATTTTATGAGATCTCTAGTTAAGGATTAACCTGATATAATTATCAGTCTCAACAAAGATTACAATACTTTTTACGAGTGAGCAATACACGAGTCACGAACTCGTCCGAACGACGCACGACAATACACGAACACCGAGTTTGCCGAAACTTGCCGAAACCGAAACCGAATCTTCGGTCGGTTTCTAACTATAACCCTGTCCTGCGCTGCGCAGATTGCTGGTCTCAGTAGAGACTGGCCGCTGGGACCGAAATTCGGTAGGGAGGACATTATTATTTATTATTACGCGGTAGAGCCACTTTGCAGCTATATTATTAGCTTTGAAGCACTAGTGGGTTGACTCAACCGGGGTAGGATCACTCCATAGAATATCGGCGTGAAAAAGCAGCTTGCTTGCAGTTGCTGTTTCATATAGTGACTGCAAAGAGTCAGAGTTATTTTTTTACTAAAAACGAAACATTCCATCTCAGTGCTCAAAGGCATCGCGTCTGCATTTTTATTTTAATTGATGATAAATGTAGATGTCTATGGGCCACAGCATTCACTTGCCATCAGGGTGAACTGTGTGCTCATTTGTCACTCTTATTTTTAAAAAAAATATGATGCACGTGGCAGCTAACGTCCTCTTCGATAATTTCGAAGGAAAGTGGAAGACCCACCACACGAAACCGCTGCACGTAAAGAGAGACCTTGCAAGTCTGAGTATTTTACTTGACACAATGGTCAAGGGTATGGTGTTTGTTCCGCAGGCAGCTCGAGTTCGGGCAGCAGCTCGTCGTCCAGCTCGGACAGTTCCAGCTCGTCTGACAGCTCGGACAGCGAGTCGGAAGCTGGGGATGACAAGCCCAGCGCTGTGACCGACGATCTACCGACACCGATAATGCCCACTAATGCGGTCGAGGACGACAGGTCAGTTGACATTATCCGCGAGATGAAGCATGAGTTTATACTTAGTCGGTCCTTAAATACTGTCACAAGTAAAAATGGTCATAAAATCAAATGTTTTTGTTCAAAATTAAATTTAAAGTTAAAGTTACAGGCTGTATACAGTACAGGCCTCCTTCATTTCTGAGAGGGTTTTAGTGCAAGGAAATGTAACCCCGCTGCCTTTACATTTCTTCGAAATATTTTTTCATACAGGTTTCCTCACGATGTTTTCCTTCACCGCCGAGCAGGTGTTAAATCAGCACTTAAAATTGACGGCTCCGTGGCGCAGTGGCTTAGCAATGAGTTGCTGCGCTGGGGGCGCGGGTTCGAATCCCGCACGGAACAAGTATATGTATGACCTACAAATAATTGTTCCGGGTCTGGATGTTTGTTCTTGTGCAATTTGTGTTTGTAAACTGCCTCTGCGATACAGGAGAAAATCCTAGTATGGGAGTAACGTTTAAAAAAAAGAAACTTAAAATTGCAATTAACAATTTCATTGGTGCCGGCGGGGATCGAATCCGGGTCGTTCGTTGTACTGTGAAATTTACAGCGAGCGCTTAGGCCCCGAGCTACCATTGCCATAGTGTATAATTAACCGATTCATTGCGTATGGCACGCCAGGCGTGCCGTCGATTTCCTTTCTGTGGCGTATGACACGCGAGTCGTGTCATTTTAAAAATCTCTTTCACTTTAAAAGTCTCAAATTGCGTTTACGGAAGATGTATACACAACAAAATATTCATTATTTTACAAGTAATTAATGCCTACAGCTTTCGTTTCTGGATATTTTGTGAGTTTGAAATTTTTAGGGGTTGTCAACCTTTTTTGATTTGGATGGGTACACTTTTTTTACTGTGTGGGGTTTTTAAATCATGTTGTGGAAAAATACTCTCTAATAAGTAGCAAATAATAGGACACGTTGCGATCGCCCACGCACTCAAGTTGTAAATGAGTTTCTGGAGCGCTTCAGGAGTGCTGGTACGAGTACCATCCTGGGTTAGTCTTTCGTTTAATTAATTGCGCTGCCATGTTGCTGGGGGGCGGGGCGGGAGGGGGGGGGGGGAATTGAGTCTCCGACCACCTGTTTCCAAACTTGAAAAAATGGCTTAGTGGTCAAAGATTTTCCATGAATGAAAAAGTGATATCGGCAGTTAACGACGACAGTTAATTATTTTGAGGAGCAAACAGTTCTTATTATAAAGAGGGTATCAAACTCCTTGAACATCGCTGGAAAAAGTGCATAGAGCTGAAAGGAGATTATGTTGAAAAATAAAATTATTTGTTCCAAAATTTTTGTGTTTTCCTTGTTGGGTCGGTACTTCTGGGACTACCCTCGTATGTATCTCTATTGTCGTCGGAGCTACACGTCACTACAAGTGGGTTAACAAATTTATTTTTAATGATTCTCCGCTCATATAAGCTCACAGTGAATTTATTATAGTCGTCATGCTTGGATTTCGCTACAATTTGCGACTTATAAGATTTTACGTTCTGTAATGTACGTGTGTATTCAGGTCGTTCGGCGCGTGGTCTTCGTACAGCGGCGCGCACACGGGCTCAGGTTCGGAGTCGGAGTCGGATCTGGACGGCGCGGGCGACATGCCCGCCGCGCCCACGGTTGAGGGGGAGGTGCCGCGCGACGACGACATCAGCGAGTCGGACAACGAGTCCGCCGACAAGAGTTTCCAGTGCCACGTCTGCCGCAAGTGGTACTCCACCCGCGTCACCCTCAAGTGAGTATACCTTGTGTCATCAGCGAGTCCGAGACCGTGGAGGAACAAGCATTCACAGAATACAAGTGTGAATTAGCAGCTTAATGCTGCTGCGATACCACGGGGAGTATGACTGTATGATGATTTTTTTACGCGGTAGAGCCACGCTGCAGCTATATTATTGATGTAGCACGAATGGGTCGGCTCGACCGAGGAAGGACCACGCTCTCTCACAGAATACCAATTCTGTGAGAGCGTGAAAAAGCTGCTCAATGCTGCCGTGTTTCGTATGGTGAGTGTAGAGAACCGGAGCCCCTTTTTACTGGAAACAAGGCATTTCATCTTAGTCCTCACGGGTGACAACGCATCTGCATTTTGATTCTTAATCAAGGATAAATGTAAATGTCTTTAGTCCCACAGCATTAGGTAGACTGTGTTTGTCACCGTTATTCTCTGAAAAAGACGAATACACTTTAAGTAACGTCGGAACCAAGCCGAAACCATGTTTAACATGGTGTAAAAACATTCACCTGCTCATACACATGCATCTTAAACTATTTGCAATTAGCAACATGGTTGACACACCGTGTAGTGACGGTGTAAGAATATGTACTACCCCATATCGTCCTGTTGATGTCGTTAAAGACGACAGAGGGAAATTAAAGATGACAGGAGATGCCCATCTCCAACAGCATCTTCCTGATAACACCTCAAAATAATAAAAAAAAAATACTGTTACCAACTCACGTGTCAAGCGTGTCAGCTATGATGAAATCCCCCTCTATTAGGCAATCAATGTGAGAGACCTATATTATGTTCAACAGTGGACTTTTATAGGCTGTGATGTAGGACTTGGTGATAGGTTCATATGTGCGCATTAATGCTCGTCAAGGAGTGGAGCATGGTTTTGGCATCACTTGAAATATATGGAGTGTTCCACTATCTCTTTTACGTTGATCAGACATTTATAAATGGGTTTTGAAAAGGTACTTTAATGTTATAAAACGGGCATTTTTAGTACTCTAATTATATTGCAAACGCATAATGTTATCTAGATTAAATTTCAGTCACAGCGGCCATTCGCAACGGAGACCGACCATCTGCGAAAGACAGGATTGTAGTGTGCCAAATGCGATACATCTACCATTGTGACCAAACTTTCCACAAATAACATACAATCTGTCCGTTTGTGTCAGGATCCATCGTCGCGTGCATCAGAACAAGGGCGGTGGCAACTCGCGCTCACGCACTCGCACTTCGGAACGCTACGAGTGCGATTGCTGCAGCGAAACCTTTAGCCGCCGCGACAAACTCTGGGAACACAGGTCAGTTCACTTGCCTTGTATAAAGTTGCAGACTATTTATGTCCCACTGCTGGGCACAGGCCTCCTCTCATTTCTGAGAGGGTTTTAGGGCAAGGATATGTCCGCCGCGCTGCCCCAATGCGTGTTGGCGAACTTTACATGTCTTTGAAATATTTTTTTCTTTTTTGTGAGACATGTAGGTTTTCTCACGATGTTTTTCTTCACCGCCGAGCACGTGGTAAATCAGCACTTAAAATTGTAATTAACAATTTCATTGGTACCGGCGGGGATCGAATCCGGGTTGCTCAAGTATTGTGAGCATACAGCGAGTGCTAACCATCTGAGCTACCACGGCTCTTGCCTTGTATACATGCATAAATAGACTGAGCGGTCTACTGAGTAGACCGAATGGTGTACTCAGCAGATCGCTCAGTCTGATAGTCTAGAGTATACCGGACAGTATAGAGAGGATTTTTCAGTATACCGAGTAGACCGTCTGGTCTATTGAATATAATAGATCTGTGGAGTAAAACTTACGGCTTATTGAGTAGATCTATACTACTAATCTACTAATTTTGGCGGTCCACCACTGTGCGATTTAGAAGATGTTTTCTTCCTCGCACAACTTTTTGTCTTATGGCGGCTCTTCACGTTGGCCAACATAGTGGCGAATGTGTTGGCAGAGTTATTGGCCAAGAAATTGTGATCGCGTCCACACGTTGCAAGGTCGTTCAGTTTGCTTCGGTCCAGGCCAATGTGCGGACGAATTTATTAAAATGATTATTGATGCGCTAACGGCTGCTGCGGTTTATTTATTCACAGCATACCACTATTTTTTATTTATTTTCACTATTTTTAATGTTTAATATTTTTAATATAAATTTTTAATATTTCTTTATTATACACTAACGTTATACAGATAAGTAAACTATATAAACATTAACACACCTAGGTATAGGTATAATTAACTAAGGCCTGGAAAATATTCGAAGCCTGTCTATGAAACTGTTGTAAATTTTTTATTAAACAAAACCTTTTTAGAAAAGGGTTATTATATATATCGGAAATGACAACAGGAGATCCCACTTCTGATGTCGGAGAATTACAACATAGGATTTCAATTTCGATCTTGGAAATACATCAGGATAGCGTTAACTGTTAAAAATAATAAAAGTGTGAGAGCGGATATATATATATATCCTCTTTTTGCTTTTCAGGTACTAACTCCATGTGGCCTGGATCAAGATATTCCTGCAACACTGCAGAATATTGTATCTTTAACTCGGTATTCTTCCCCAACTTTTTTTCTAACAACTGTAATCTTCTAGTAGCTATCTTTCTCGAATTTCCGTACTTGCATCGAGGATCTTCGTCTCTAAAAGGTAAATTAACCACATAACGTCCAGAGTCATCCCTAGAGGTTGTATGAGAAAATATCTCTTCACACTTTTGTTGCTCTGGAGTTATTTTACTCTTCTTGTAGGAGAAATCGTCAGACTCAATCTCCCAAAATCTTCTTAAAACCTCATTTTCATCTGCATAGGAATGCATACTGACAATCCTATTACTGGAGTCACACTCCAATCCAGTGTGAGAGCTTGAATAAATTTGTCCTGAAAAAATCCATCCGAATTTAGTGTTTTGAGCCACTGGTGATCCTGGAGGACCCTTTATTAGACCGTCTTCTAGTATTTGTCCGTATACTTCTGCTCCTAGTAATAGATCTACCTTATTAGGTATATAAAATTTAGGATCAGCTAATCACAATTCAGATAGCTCCGACCATAATTGAACAGCAAACTTCTTTGAAGGCATGAATGCTGTCAATTTGTCTAAAACGTGAAGTTTCACTTTTATCAAAAAATGAGGATCATGGATTGACTGCAGATTAGCAACTACTATGTGTTTGGATACTAAGCCCTCTTGTCCTCCTACTCCTGATATTACAACCTTCGTCGGAATCTTTTTTAGTCCAAGCGTTTGAACTGCATTCTCTGTAATAAAAGACGCTTGGGATCCCTGATCTAAAAGACATCTAAATGTAATACCAACTTCATTTTTTGACAAAACCTTTACAAAGGCTGTAGCCAAAAGAACATGACTCTGTATATTTGAAAAACATGAGGTTATACTAGTTGACTCATTTGGTTGAACAGTTTCTGTTACCGTATTAACGACACCAGATTCTGCATTTCCGATTGTTACTTCACTTGGTTTCCGATTTGAATGTAATAATGAGTGGTGTTTTCGTTTACAAACATGGCACTTGGAGGTTTGCCGACAAAAATAAACCGAGTGGTTATTTCCCAGACAGTTGAAGCATAAATTGTTGTTTTGAACAAAGCTTTGTCGACTGTCATAATCCTGTCGAGCGAATTGTTTGCAATGTGCAATTTTATGAGATCCTTGGCAGTATTGGCAATTATTTAAAGAGATACTAGATGAGTTAGTTTTAAGGGCGTGTAGAACACTCTGTTTAGAAACAGGCTTTGTTCTTACCTTTGTATCTAAAAACTCTAACGATCTAAACCGATTTTCCAAAAACTTTGAAAATTCATCGAATTTGGGTAGATCATCGGACGCACTTATGGTAGATTCCCATAACTTACGTGTTTCATTATCTAATTTTGCACTAACAATATAGATTACAATAACATCCCATGACTCTACAACAACGCCTATGTTTTTTAAACCGTTTAAGCACTCTACAGTAGTATCGAGCAGTTCCTTTATGGAGCGTGAAGATTCAGAAACATTAGGTTGACTCATAAATCTCTTTAATATGCAATTTGTGAGATATTTTTTATTATCATATCGCTTATTTAATAAATTCCAGGACTCTAAATAATTAGCAGCTGTTACAGGAATATGTCTCAAAAGTTGTTCTGCCTCACCTATTAAATGCGCCTTAAGATAGTGTATCTTTTGAATATTCTCAATGGATGCATTTTTATGTATAAGTGTTATAAATAAATCCCTAAACGTTGTCCACTCGGCATACTTTCCGCTGAAAGTCGGAATAGAAATTTTTGGAAGTTTAACATTTGTACATTCTACACCCTTTTCAAAGTTAGGTTTTTCAGGTATATGAACAGATTGTAACTTAGCAAGCTCATCTCTTAACACAGTTTTAGTTTCTATATATGCATTTTCTGTTTCATCATAAATATTATTTTTAAAGTAATTACTATCAAACAATTCCTTTTCCCCACATTTTTCAATAAGACGAGCATGTGTTTCAAGAAACTGCGTCCATTGTGCATCTAAATTTTGTATACGAATTTCAATATATGTTGCATTAATTCTGTCTTTCGGAGACTTATTGTAATTAATTAAAGTTTTTTTTATTCTACTCTGAATGTCTATTTGAATTTTAATAAAATTTTCCATTTTAAATTATAAACGACTGATACTTAGAAGCAAAACTATTAAAGTTCAAGAGAACACAAATATAAATTCCAATTATTATACACTAGCGAACTACTAGGTATATAAAGAAATTATTCTGCTTACAAATTGAAATCTTAGGCAGTTCAAAACAAATTTACAAGTGAATTGGCATGTACAACAAATCGTATATGTTTAGCTATCTTATAAGTTATTCTGTCCGAATTAATATAACAGAAAATTTTACAAGTTCCAAACAACACATAAAATTTTTACAAGTGTTTGAGAAATAACACATTTAGGCAAAATCTGGCATAGGTTCCCCGTATAATCACTTTCTTCAGAATTATTCTAACTCCCTATCAATTGAACATTAAATTTTTAACAAGTTTAAATCTACTAAACTAACTAACAGGCAACACTTTATTACTGTCCACACTATTCTGCAACATAAACAATATAGAGTACTCACGGTTTTGCTTCACATCACTTATACACACCAAACCACCTTGTGACGTATTATCTCCAATTATGTATTGCTCCAACTTCACTCTTCAAATCTTCAACTGGACCAATACTGCTGACTGACAGATGACATTTGCTGCTGTCACTGTCACCTTTTTCGTCGGTTGACTTAACCGCCCTCTCGCGCAGCTTGGTTGGTACTACGCCAACTTTCCCTCGTCCAATGAAGTAGGATATACACTCCCACCTCACTTGGAAGCACTTCAGTGACGGTCCGCCACTGCTTTCTGTGCTTGATTCAAAAAAAACTCAGGAAGCTGCGCAGTAATTCACAGTTGCCACTTTCTAAATATCCGCGCTCGTTGGACCTTATAATGTTCTTTTTCTCACGTACTTTACTTTTATTTTAAAGGTACGTAATTGAAACAACCAATACGTTGGGGACACAGAATGAGATCGCTGCACCTTATATTATTACAAATAATCTCAACATTGTGATTCAGTTATTTAATATTTTAGTACAACGACATCTAGTGACAACTTAAATAGCTAAACAGTCATTGTTACTGCTGTTATGTAGAGATGCGTGCATATAAAATTTAAATCAGGTGTGTGCAATCACTCTGGGAGTTCGTAGCAAACTGAACGTGTGCCCAATGTGTGGATGCGGCGGCCAATACTCTGTCACAACCCTTTGATCTTTTGTAAAAAACCGACACCAGACGGATTTTGCGCCAACTTATGGGCCATCGTTCTAATACGTATCAACGTAGTTTAAACATCCGCTCTACACGATGGCCATCGTTGTTGGCCAATACATTCGCCAGTATGTTGGCCAACGTGAAGAGCCTCCTTTACAAATGTTGATTTGCAAGGTAAAATTGGGTGTGGCAAATATATTTGTTAGTTAAAGTTCTTTTTAATAAAACGATAATTTCAATGTTATAAGTGAAGAATATTACGGATTAGTATACTGAAGTGGCAATGGGTCGGCCATATAGCCGCAAGAATCCAAATGCCAAATAGCTGGAAGAGAGGTTTTCGAGTGGCAACCTCGTACCGGCAGGCGAAGTGTAGGGCGACCTGGTGAGACATGCATAAAGTCGATGGATGTAGATGGTTCGGGACCGTGCTTTATGGCGTTCCTTGGGGGTGGTCTATATTCAGCAGTGGACTTGTGAAGGTCTGTAACGATGATGATGGTGATGAAGTGAAGAGAGAAGAAGTGAGTGACGTTGCGTGTGGCGTGTTGCAGGGCGGCGGCGCACCGCGGCGCGATGACGGTGCGCTGCTCGGTGTGCCGCAAGTGCTTCGAGGACGACGCCGAGCTGCACGCGCACGACGCCGCGCACACCGCCGACGAGCGCGCAGGTACGCACTATGCTAACCACTCGCACCCACTCGCACCCACTCGCACCCACTGCACCCACTCGCACCCACTCGCACCCACTGCACCCACTCGCACCCACTCGCACCCACTGCACCCACTCGCACCCACTCGCACCCACTGCACCCACTCGCACCCACTCGCACCCACTCGCACCCACTGCACCCACTCGCACCCACTCGCACCCACTCGCACCCACTCGCACCCACTGCACCCACTCGCACCCACTCGCACCCACTGCACCCACTCGCACCCACTCGCACCCACTGCACCCACTCGCACCCACTCGCACCCACTGCACCCACTCGCACCCACTCGCACCCACTCGCACCCACTGCACCCACTCGCACCCACTCGCACCCACTGCACCCACTCGCACCCACTCGCACCCACTCGCACCCACTCGCACCCACTGCACCCACTCGCACCCACTCGCACCCACTGCACCCACTCGCACCCACTCGCACCCACTCGCACCCACTCGCACCCACTGCACCCACTCGCACCCACTCGCACCCACTGCACCCACTCGCACCCACTCGCACCCACTCGCACCCACTCGCACCCACTCGCACCCACTCGCACCCACTGCACCCACTCGCACCCACTCGCACCCACTGCACCCACTCGCACCCACTCGCACCCACTGCACCCACTCGCACCCACTCGCACCCACTCGCACCCACTGCACCCACTCGCACCCACTCGCACCCACTGCACCCACTCGCACCCACTCGCACCCACTCGCACCCACTCGCACCCACTGCACCCACTCGCACCCACTCGCACCCACTGCACCCACTCGCACCCACTCGCACCCACTCGCACCCACTCGCACCCACTGCACCCACTCGCACCCACTCGCACCCACTGCACCCACTCGCACCCACTCGCACCCACTCGCACCCACTCGCACCCACTCGCACCCACTGCACCCACTCGCACCCACTCGCACCCACTGCACCCACTCGCACCCACTCGCACCCACTCGCACCCACTCGCACCCACTCGCACCCACTGCACCCACTCGCACCCACTGCACCCACTCGCACCCACTCGCACCCACTCGCACCCACTGCACCCACTCGCACCCACTCGCACCCACTCGCACCCACTCGCACCCACTCGCACCCACTCGCACCCACTCGCACCCACTGCACCCACTCGCACCCACTCGCACCCACTCGCACCCACTCGCACCCACTCGCACCCACTCGCACCCACTCGCACCCACTCGCACCCACTCGCACCCACTCGCACCCACTCGCACCCACTCGCACCGCAAGCCACTTTGCACTTCTCACTCTAGCGCTCCGCCCCGCCTTCATACCAGGTGATATCTAGATCTCAGCAACAGCGCCACCTACCGGCTTCAATTGTAAGCCTAAACCATTCTCTAATCAACTTAATCACACACACACACAAAAACACACACACAAAAAATATTTCATCAAAATCATTCCAGCCGTTTAGGAAGAATTCAATCACATACACATGGACAGAAAAATTATATAATATACATTACACATGTATTGTACATATAAACCTTCCTCTTAAATCATTCTATCTAATGATAAAAACCTTAATAAAATCCGTTGCGTAGTTTAAAAGATATAAACGTACAGACGGTAGGAAGCACGAATAGGTCGGATCGACCGGGGAAGGACCACGCTCTCACAGAATATCAGCGTGAAATAGCGTTTGATGCGTGTAAAGAACTCACGGATCAAAAACAAAGTTTTCTTCCTCGCACAACTTCCTTGTGGAATAGTTTACCACCAGGGATTTTTCCGGACCGATACGACTTAGGGACCTTCAAGAAAAGAGCCTACTCCTTTTTAAAAGGCCGGCAACGCATCTGCAATTCCCCTGGTGTTGCGGTTGTTCATGGGCGGCGGTAGTCACTTACCATCAGGTGAGCCGCATGCTCGTTTGCCCCCTCTCCTATAAAAAAAAAATAAAAAAAAAATAAAAAAAAAAACAAAGAAGAGACGACCTAAGCAACCTGTGCAATGTAATTCTAACTAAATCCTAACGTCATCACAGTGGGCGTGGCTTTACTTAGTATATTGTCGACGTTCGTCCCGTGAAACAAATACAAAAAGGAGATATCGTAATTAAATTCCACTATATAATGCGTGTCAATTTACAGAGGAAGAAGGTGTTAAACCCCGCCCTTTCAACTGTTTTCCATCTACCGATAAATAGTAAAACTTGTCGCATCGTTCCATATCAATATTACAATGTAGTTTAGCTATTTTACATTTGATGTAAGATGTAAGACGTACTCAGAAATTTCATTCCAAGAAATATTGTTTTCTTCAAAAATCTATTTTTTTTAAATTAAAATACCGATACTATTATAAAAAAAAATCCTACTTATACTACAGGTTGGCCCATAAGTCCCTTGAAATGTAAAAAAATAATTTAAAAAAAAACTAATGACATTATGAAAAAGGTTTTTATTTTGTCATAATCCTTATAAAATGGGAATTATTTTTTGAAAATTACATCATCTAAATGTAATCCGTTACGATCGCGGCACTCCTGTAAGCGACGTTTAAAATTATCCATTACTGCGTGGCAAGTAAGCTCTGTAATGTTTGCCATTTCTCTTTGGATATTTTCTTTCAGGACGTCAATTGTCCGCGGGTTGGTTTCGTACACTTTAGTCTTAAGATAACCCCATAAGAAAAAGTCCATTGGGGTCAGATCTGGACTACGTGGTGGCCAAGGAATATCTCCTCTTCGAGAGATCACTTTATTAGGGAAAAGTTGACGGACGACCGGCATAGCGACGTTAGAGGTATGGGCAGTTGCTCCATCTTGTTGAAACCAGGTCCGCGTATTGAAGCCTGGAAAATTCTGCAACTCTGGTGTAAAAAAGTCCTGGATCATAGCTACATACCGTTGTGAAGTAACAGTAAGCGCGCGGCCTCTGCCGTCCTCAAAAAAGTAAGGGCCTATAATGCCATGCGCTGACATAGCCGCCCAAACTGTCACTTTAGGGCTATGTAAGGGCTTTTGATGTTTGCGATTTGGATTTTCGCAACTCCAGTAGCGACAATTTTGCTTATTGACATGGCCGTTGATGTGAAAGTGAGCCTCATCAGAGAATAACACGTTATTAAACGAAGTAAAGCGGTTCAACATTTCATTTGCGAAATTTAGTCTGTGGATAGTGTCAGTATCTTTTAATTCCTGTACTAACTGAATCTTGTACGGGTGAAGATGTAAATCTTTCTTTAAAATTCGCTGTAACGATGTTCTGGGTAAGTTTAATGCACTGGAACGCTTACGAGTAGACTGGGTAGGATTTTCACGAATTGAGTGTTTCACTACATCGATGTTTTCTTCCGTCCGTGATGTCCTTGGTCGACCTGACCCTGTTTATCCAACGTCGAACCACTCTCTTCGAACTTAATAACCCAGTTCTTAATCGTTTGAACACTTGGAATGTCTTTAAAGTTGCGTAAATTCTGATATTCTCGAAATTTACGCCGCGCAATGGTAGCCGAATCATTGTTTCGATAAAACTCGCGCACACAAAATGCACGGTCCGCACCGGTGAAACGCTCCATGGCGACTGAATTCCCAGAAACCGTCGGTACTCCCCCCGCACCGCGCGCGCCACTCATGCGCGCCTTTTGTATTTTATTCGAAATTTACATTTCTAACGACTTATGGGCCACCTGGTATAACAATAATAAAATTATTGTTATAGTAGAAGTATAACAATAATCATATTATTGTTATTCTAATATCTCACTAATATTATAAAAGCGGAAACTTGTGTGTACTTTCTGTCTCCTTGACCTTATTCCACGCTATGTACTGTGTATGTGTTATTTTTTCACACTGAAACGGCTGCACTATTATGTATGTGTGGGTTATACTAGTTGAAAGGGGCATAAGCTATTAGCCCGTCATTTCCTCGGTTAACGAGAGTGTTCCTATTGGCTATCCAATTAGCTGGCACTTCACGACACTCATTAAAGCTTTAACAGGCCCATGAGCTACGAATGGTGCCATCAACTTCTTCGAGCTCTCGTCGTAAAGTCCGGTAGCACATCACGTTGGCAGCAACCGCTGCACGCAAGGGCAGGACAGTTCGTGAGGTTGCGACTCCTATAGTGGTAATCGCCTGTTGAAATCTGGTGGTGACGGATTCCATTGGTTTCCAAATTACTTGTTGGATCACAAATCCTCCAGTAGTGTTTGATATGACGGAGAGTTTGTATCGTTTACATTCGCGCAGTCTGCGCTCAACAAACTCAAACAACTGACGTCTAATGGAGTCGTGCTGATTTATCGGCCCGGCTCGTGGAACGTTAACGTCAATAAGTTGACGAACCTCCGACAGCTGGTTTGCTGTCTTGGGTCTTCTCCAACCAAGTAGATTTACTGTTGGTTCGTGTGGTATGTCCGGCAGCTCGTCTTATTCTTCTTCTGGGACGATCTCTGCGTCGCCTCCTTCTTCCCTGGCCTCTTCAGGGCCCTCCTCTGCCCGACGTCTTCTTTCGACATGATTCTGTCAGTTCGCGCCTCTCTCACGGTTTTGGGAAATTGGAGGCTGCGGAGCTAATCCAGGCAATATCCAGTTCACATCTCCTGGCCTATCTACCGTTGCGTCTATATCCTTCGCAGGTGCTGGGAGTGTCTCGTAGAGACTATGTATGTGTAGCAGCCAGGCTAATCAACCCTAAATGGTAATAAATAATGTATACCCTGCTACTACGATAACGCAGAAGGCGAAGGTCTGAAGAAAACATTAATTTCCAATCTACCCCCGGTTACTGAGATACTGCGGGCTGCATATCGATGCGAGATAATTTGACGTTTTTATATATTTAACGTTCTAATATAGAAACAAGAAGCAGCCGCAAATATCATCACACGCCGGCTATCTTCATGCATCTGTCGACTATTTTCTTTTTTTTATTGATTAATCTTTACTGGTCAAAATGTATTTATTGTAATTGAC